GAAGGCTTTGAGAGGCATTTATATAATAATAATGTTGTACAGTCTTCATGGTCTGTTGGAAAGAGGAGAATTTCACTGTTTTAAAAGAAAAGTGCTCCTATAGGGCATTGTGAAATGATAAATAAGTGGGTGAGAGGTTGCTCCAGGAGCTTAGCTTAATGTTGGGCTTAACGTTAGTGCAGTAGTCTCTGCAACAGGAAACATGTTTTTCCCGTAATGAACATTTTCCAGTAGGAAGAAAATAAGACAAGTCTCAATCTTATGAACACATGTAGACTTTTATGGCCAGAGTGCTTTAATTTTTTTTTCCCTTTCCTTTCTTTTTCCCTAAATATCTGATTTACGTAGCATTATTCTAATAGGTAGTAAAGTACAAATGTGATGAATAGAAGAACTCCAAATGAGCACTGGTAGTTCACCCCCAGAGAAATGAACAGCTGGTTTACTTTGGCTGTTTTCCAAAACCCACAAAGAGTTAAATCACATTAACTAACTTTGCAAAGAACTAAGACATTTGTCTTCACGATGACTGCAGTGTCTTTTTTTGAAGAACTTACTATTTTAACCCTATCTGTGCCTTTGAGATACCTCTGGATCTCAATCAGGGACACTACCCTAATAAGGGTGTAAGGAAGATGTTGCATGGCAGTTGTGAAGAAAAATGGTTCTGGTTCTAATGCAAAAAAAACCCAAACAAAACCAAACAGAAAAATCCTTTTCCTGATATAACTTTAGTTCTGATTTATTTATATGTTTACCTGATAATGCAAATCATAAAGGATTTAAAGAATTGATGGGGTTAAACGGCTCTGATTACTGCTGGGGGGGAAAGGAGAATAGTCTAGTGTGAGTGTGTGTGAGAGCTGTCTAGCACTTGGCTGCATCCCAACGCCAAGAGGGTACAAGGCCCTCTTGTGTTTCCTGCCTAGGATGGGGTCATCTCAAATGCCTCCTTTTTCTTCCACTCTCCCATCGCTTTTGGTTAACATCTAGAACTTTTTTTTCTAATCAACATCATTTCCTTAGCTAAAGCAGAGCATTTTTGTGATTGGGAATTCCTACAGTTTGAGATCAGCCAGAAAAAAGTCAAAGAGCTTTTGGCTTCACTTCCCTTCTCTCTCTTTTTTTCTAACATGTGAAGAAGTGTGTCTGAAATTTGTGTAATGCCTAGTCTTACTCCATGGAAAATGTAAAATTCCTTAAAAGGAATACAGCAAGTTCAAGGTTTTACTAGTGACCTTTGTTTATCTTTGGGACCCTAAGCGCTATTACAGCATACAGTCCTAGGGACATAGGAATATAGGTTAGTGCGTGTAGCAATTCAGACCTGAAAACATGAAGCATGTTGTGAATTCCACTTACGAGTCACAGCTCCTCTAGGAAAGTGTATGAGAGGTATGCAGGGATCATCCACCTCTGGAGAGTAAGGCAAACACTTCAAACACAAATGTTTAAAACAGAGTAAAGAGTCTGTGGGCCTTGGAATTTCCATGGGAATGTAGGAAATGGAGTATGTTTGTTACATTTGGAATTGAATACTGAGCTGGAAACCCAAACTTTTCATGCTGTCACTTCTCTAATAACATCAAATGGCAATGTATTTTTTGTTCTTGGTTGTACTCAGAAGGAAACCTTTCCTAACCTAAGTTCCTGTGAGTATGACACATCACAGCAAGAAAGAGTAGCCTCCATTTAATAATACCGTGTCTTGTTCAGTCTAAACACACTTTTGTTGCCTTCTGTGCTAGATAAAAGCCAGTGTTTTCTGAAAATTATGTTTGGGGATTCTCAGCCATCATATATTCCTGGAAAGAGAGAATGGTCTGGGTATGTAATTGGCTTTCACTGATTAGGAAGGAACAGCCTTTCTGGAAGTGCCTCCAAGAGACCTCAGCGACTGCTCATCTCCCTCAGAACTATGTTTTAAAAAGTCTCTCTTTGCTCACCCAAATTTCCCTCTGTTTTGTTAGCTAGTGTAGCTGTGCTGTTTAAAATTCTGTAGCTATGAGATGCTGGGAGGTTTATGCTGTCACCAGGCTTGTTCTGGGAGCAGAAGATGGTAGTCTCTGCAGTTGCTTAATAAATATGGATTAAAATAGATACACAGTGATACTCCATCCCATGATACCTTTTCTTCAGCTATGAGATAACAGTTAGGTAGAAGTGTTGAGATACAGGTCAATTTTGTATGGGATCTGTTTTCTTATGTGAGCTTTTCTGAAGTCATTACATGTTTTTTAATTAATCTTATTGCTAGTACATTGAAAAACATTGCTCTTGTTTTCTCCTTCACCTACATGCACATACACTTTTAAAATGAGGTTGTCACAATTTTAGCAACCCACAAAAAACAAGGTATATACTGCAGTCATCTTGGAAACAGAGTTAAATACCAGTAGGGAACTGCCCCACGTAGTATTCCACTCCAAACAAAAGAATCCTCAACCTTGAAGTTGCACTTCTTATCATCAGTGCGCTATTGATACAGTAAGCTATTTGAGTCTATATAAAGGAATTCTACATGGCTTTTGTAAACATGAAAAGCTATAAATTTTTCAGATCCACATTTACTACAGCAAAAGGCAAAGTACTAATTCATGTACACTGGGTAAACTCTGTCTGTCCATGGTGTACGAGTACTGCAACAGTGGTGAAGGATTCTTCCTCCTCATCCAGTGGAGAGGAAGACACAGATAGTGAGGAGGTGGAAGAGGAACGTGAGAATGAGGATTCAGGCATTGCAGAAACCATCGGCACCCACACAGATAAAAGGGAGAAGCCAAAAGCCGGGCAAACACAGCAAGAGCCACCAGTGGAGAAGAAGAAAAAAGGATCCGTGCTAGAGGTATAGCTGAATTAGATTTTCAACTTACCTAAAGCAGGAGCTTTATAGGATAGTATGTGTCTGTCAGTCACAATTGCAATTGGAGAATCTCTTCATACTGTCTTCCATGCTTCAGCCTCCTGCTTGTTAGACGAGACCAGCTTGTGCTGTGACTTCTGCTGATTTTCACTCAGCTTTTCTTTTTTTTTCAGAAAATGAAAATGCGGAAGAGAAAAATGGAGAAGCACTTCCCAAAACAGGATGTGGGGCCCTGGGGGTGTAGGACTGTGGGGTGGCTACACGCTACCCCCCCATCTCCCAGCGTAATACATGGGGACTGTAAAGGGGGTCAGAAAGCAGACAGGGTTGAGCTGGTTTGGGGCCTGAAAATACAGACCAGGACGTCCAGGGGTTGAAAACATGATATGGTGATCCCACTCAACACCAGACCTAACTCAGAGGCATCATTACTGCTATCAGCACTCAAATGTGTAATGAGACATGTTCCAGTTCTTGATCCCAAAACTGTTCTTGACAGGTTTCCACCTGAATGCGTGCCTCTTGGCAAGATACACGTTCCACGGTCCTTCCATGTGCTGGCAGCAACATGCCAATTCACAGGAGAAGCCAGAAAGCTGGGCTCCAACACCGACCCGGTGGATAGGTGCAGAGCACCCACTGATGCCAGCTGCTTCCCCAGGGTCTTCCTGCTTGTGCAGACTCAGTTCTGTGCACCTCCTTCGAGCACAGGCTTGCAAGCACGGTACCCTGGGACAAGCAAAGGTGTGAGTATTGCAGAGGAGCTGGCAGCTAATTCTGCACAAATACCTTCTGGCAGGATACAGTCCAGCTACTGTTGCATCTGAGCATGTTTTAATACACTTACTCCCCCAGTTATTCTCAGGAGTTGTGTCTGTTCTCAGAGGCACTTAAGCCCCAACCCACAAAGGTCGTTAAGTAGAGTGATCAATACTGGTCTGGGTAACCGAGCAAAAAATTGAGCAAGTTATCCAGACTGGATCCCACAGAACCAGGCTCTTTCCTCTCATCTGCAGATTGCTCCAGTATAGGATTTGGTTCATCTGACTCCACACCAAGCAATGGGGAGGGTGCTGGGCCATGGGCACCAGACTGCAGGAGACCAAGAAGCTCTTCCTTCAGCAGAAGTAACCTCCTGGGGAGAAGGGGTCGCATGTTTTCTGCCTTAGGATCTATGATCCCTGTACCATTAGGTTACCTGAGAAATTATCTCAGCTGTGCTTCTAATGAGCCTTTCTAAAAATGGTTTCTTTTCCTAGGACAAAAAGAAGGAAGATCCAATGGAAAACTTAAAGGAGGTGAGTTGAGGTTGAATTGCAATCCCTACGTTCTTGCTAGTTCGTATTAAGAGCAAAAGCTGAATAACTTCTCTGTGCTGCTTCCAGTACTGTTAATTCAGGCAAGGTGTGTGATTTAATGAGTTTCGTGACAGTCCAATTTTACTGTTACAAACCATGATTTTAACAATCCCAACACTGGAGTTTATTTTTTTGTCAGCTGCTCCTATGTGAGCACTGCATCCAGGACAACCCTGTTTCAGCGATTCTGGGTTTTAACCACATGCAAGTTCTGTCATGTTTAACTTTTTTTTTCTCTTTTTAATGTTTTGTTTTCTTCTTTAAAGTGCTTTCTAAACATCAATTACAAAAAAGAATGAGTAGGGCTGAGAGCTCTTGAGAAGAATAGTCACTTTAAGTGCTCACATTGTGAGTGTAAAGTGGACTCCCCTCTTAGAAATTTTTTTACACTGCTGGAAATGAGAAGTTATCTTTGAATTAAAACTTGCTACCAGCTCTCCTGTGTCTGTCTTCACAGCTTATCTGCTTGGTTTGTTTTTCAACAGCTGGAAGAAGGTAAGACATTCCAGGAGGTCTTGGTGATTCACTGGAAGCGCTCTCAGGTGGCCACTTGGGCTAACGACACTTTGGCAGAGGAGCCCAAGAAGGGAGAATGAAAGCCAGCAGCTGATGATCTCAGCTTCAATTCAGATGAGTTGGAGGAGCTGAGGGAGGAGGAGGAGGATGGGAATGAACACTCTGAAGATGAGGAGGAAACTAAAGGTACTGAAAGAAACTATCACCCTTTGTCTTTGTCTCAGTGAATGTGAGAGCGTGTGTACTGATTGGACCCATCTTGGAGTCCTGCCTCCAAAAGTAGACTGTAATCAGGAAGGTGGTTTCTTGAGCATGAGAATCATTCCGTGTGCTATGGATGGATGGCTGTTTTCCCAAATTTGGGGAAATGTGGGAAATGCAATTTCTGATATTAAGGGTGTGGCATTTGTGCTTTCCCCTGGGTCCTTAAGTCAATGTCTAACAAGAGTAACATGGCAAACATCTGCATCTGTCCCTTAAATGCTCTCCTAGCCTGCAGCTGTTTTTATCTCCTGGATTTACAGAGCTGGATGTAGTTTCTGTGAACTTGTCTGGTCTGCCTTTGATGCATATTTCTGGAAATGGTGTGTCCTTGGGCCCTGTCAGAGTTGATAGGAAGGGACAGTGTTCAGTATCTTGGATCCTGAAAGGAAAACTGTGTCTAGTGGAGTAGTGGGTTAACTTAGAAGAACTTTCATAAAGCATATTCATCAGTCTGCTAGGTGAATATAGAGTATTGTGAGAGTATTGATGCCCATGACACTTTGCACATGTTTCTTACAGAGGCTAAAAGATGTGACTACCAAGTCAGGAACTGGTCATTCTTATTCTATACCTGATATTCCGATGATCATCCTATTTCATTTTACAGTTCTTTGTGGAAAGCTTTCCTACTGTGTTCAGATGCATGGTCTTGCACTTACAGAAAAAAGTCCTGTTGCTGCTGGTTAATTTTTCTTGCACTATATATGGGTTTGTGCAAATGGGAATTTGTTCAGTCTGTGTCTGCCAGTGTATCCTGCCTCCTGTGGTGGCAACCATCTCTAACAACCAGCAGCTCACATGCATGTGTAATTTGCCTGGACAGCGACTTGGCAATGCAATGGTAAGTCCTTCTGTATACCCACAAAATCTTTTATAGCTGGCATCGTGAAGTTACAATCATACTTGAAAACACCTTTTCACAATGATATGCTTCACTAGTTCCTACTGAGCAGCTGTTTATTCTGTAGGCAAATTGATTGGAATACTTACTTCATTTGGGGAATAGTCAGAGTTTTGTGAAACCTCTGGGGTACTTTTTTTTTAAGTGGCAAGTATTTGCATACATTTTTAGTGTATTATTTTAAACTTCAGTTTAACTTAAATTATTTAATTTGTGGAAGAATAGTTTTTATAAACCCGAATCTAATTCAGAGGCTTTTATAAATCTATAATCCATTCATTTAGCTTTATTCACCGCAGTAGGGGTTTTTTTTGTTTGAAAATATTGCATGTTTCTCCGTCTTTGCTGTCATAGTTTTGTAATACAGCTTACTTGACTCTTACCATCACAACAGGTCAGTGCTGCTGTGCCAATGCACATGTAAATTGAGATTGTATACGCAGAAATGGAGACCAGGCTTTGCAGTGAAGGTCTGTGAACTAGGTTTGGCATACAGTTACGAGCTGGATGAGAAGCAGCCTAGAAATAGTGTTTCATTAGGAACTAGCCCGGCTCATATGCAATTACCCATGTGAACAAGGGCTACTTAAGTGAGTTTGCATTTGTGAGTTTGGGCTTCGTGATAGCACAGGTTGGTCTGAACGGATAAGCTAGAAAAGAAGTTCCCCTCTGCTGGTTAAGGAGCGTGTCTGTAGTGACACTGCCCTGCTGGTTGCTCAGGGGCCTTTGCCCACTTACTGTCTGCGGCAGTACGCTGCCTGCCTTTGCCAGAGCAGTTGTGATTCGTGCGTCTAATTAGTTTTCATTTTCTCTCTTCTTGGAATTGTCTCTAAGATGATTTAAGGAAATGCACAGTTGACCAGTCAAATGCATAATGAATTTTTATTTGGCGAACAACGAAGTTGGAATAAACCAAATAAAATCAAATGTTCTTCATGGCCCTACAGGCATTGCTGCCTTTAAATGACAAAGGTCTGACTGCACGTGCAAGTTACCATGGGGTAGACTATAGGTAGATTTGCAGGCAGTTATGGTGGGTAGTAAACAAACAAGCTCACTTCTGATTTACTTGCAGTAATTTAGGTTATTGATGCTAAGAATTAAAAAGCAGAATGCCTGCACCAGAACTGTTGTAATTATTTCCTTACCCTCTTTCTTGTAACAGCCTAGGACCCTGAGTGAGGTCAGGACCTGATCTCTTAGACACTGGAAAATTGCGTGACATGAAACAGTTTTGCACTTGTCCATGAACATAATACAAAGAACAAACTAGATACTGTACATCATGAAATGAGGTTTTGGCGAAGTTATATTCCCTTACAATAATGAGTAAATATTTGCAGAAAAAATAGGAGTAATGTACCTTTCTAGGCATCCAGTATGTATCCTGGCTCCTTCAGCATATTGTGGAAGACTTTTTCTTGCTCTTTTAGAATGAAGGCATTACATACCCTCCTTAAACTGTCATGGGTATAAAGTTTTTGTTTGTGTGTGGATGTATAAACCATGCACAATATGTCTGACTCTTGCCATTATTTGCTCACAAGGCAATCCCAACTTCTTTAAGTATTTTCTAAGCACTTCAAAAAACTGAGAACGTGTCTGCTCTGTCCTCAGCATTGTCCTTGTGCTGTACGTGTTTAGATAGAGAAAGTGGGAAGGTTGCTTGCTCAGTGCCTCTCCGGTATCTTTAACCTTTCATTCTCTAGAAGACAGTCAGTCTCTTATCATGTTCAAAATATCTTCACATTATCCCCATACGTAACTATGATGATACATCCTCTGGTTTTCATTAGCAATGTATTCACTTACCAACTATTGTTTCTAAGGTTTTGAAATGGCCTAGATTGATGTTTATTATTAAGGCTTGTAAATATTGTTCAGCTCAATGCTATTCTTTATTCCAAAAGAAAAGCAAGCAGTTTCTTTCAGGAGTTCAGATTTTCTGCACATTCAAAAGCCTGTTTTTTTTAAGGATTGTGTTTGTCTCTCATGGCACATTTACTTTCCTCTTTATTTAGAATATTAGCTTTATTGGAAAGTTAAAAGTTTTTAAATTGCTTTTTTGAACTGTCTGGGACCAAGTCATCAGCAAACAGCTAAGATTCTGGTTTAAAATTTCTTTTGCTTCTGGGCTGAGGGAATAAAAGAAAAATTAGTGGTATTTTCGGCATTCATGCTGCCCAAGCCAGCTGCTAATGAATTTTTAACATTCCATTTTTTGTTCTGAAATGTCTACTCATCCAGTGTCTTAAGATTCTTTTTACCTATTAGTTTGTTATGTAGCATTTTGAAAAGGCTTAGAGCAAAAGGAAAGTTGTGTGTGAGGCTGTGAAGGCTTTTGAAGTTCATATAGCTATAATTATGCTGCATAATTATGAAAACAGTTTCTGCCACTAACGTGTTTTTTCACCAAGCACTTACGCGTGAGATGGGTCCATTTTGCCATCTAACAAGGGGTAACTGCTTGTTAAGGGAATCCACAAGATCCACCAAAGTACAGAAAAGTTGTAACTGATGCATAGGGTGTTGTGTTGATTCTTTTACATAAATGTCAAATTCAATCCATGACCTTTTTGATTAACAATAATCTAAATTGCTAAGGGGAAAAATAGAACCCATGCAACAATTTCCTCCTTTATTTATGATTTAAGAACAGCTTTATCAACTAGCCATGCCTCAAAATAAAAAACATCTGGTTGGCAGAAGTGCCCTGTCAGCAGACAGCAGCAATTACACTGAGGCCAAACAACATCTTAATTAGTTACAAGGCAGCCCAACTGACAAAGAGGGGAGCTGTTCAAAGCTAAATAAATCTGTGGCTAAAGTCATCCTTTTATTTAACACATTCCCCACACCCCCCCTTTTTTTTTAAATTTAAATCTCAGACCAGAACTAAAGTGAAGGCTAAACTTTGACTAACAGTGTGGACTCCAACAGGAAATGTTAATCTGTATTAACATTTCTGCTTTTAATTTATCTTGCCAAAACATAGGCAGTGAGCCGCCGCTATTTGAATTAATTTTGATGAGGGGCACTGATGGGGTGACAAGCAAGAGAGTATTTAAGCAAAAGGCTACTTACTTCGCCTGACAATCTTTCCGTTTTCCTTTACTGTCAATGCCTAGTATTTGTGGAAGAACTTCCAAGTGGTTTGGCTCTTTCTCCAACTTACTACTATCTACCACAGCTGTCTGTACGTACAGCCTAGCTGCTTTTGTGTCAGAATACTGCTATGTCTGAGATGGCTTTTTTCTTTGTTATGTCCCTGTTAAGACTCACCAAGTGGCTTCCAAAAAGTCACTCAGGGTCTCTGTGACAGAAGCGTATTTTCTGAACCACAAACTAGCATGTAAACCAATGGACACTCCCCTCTGTTCATGGGGTGGTATCATCTTACTCTGTTGTTATGTATATAATATCATATATGTGTGGAAAGACCCAGAGGGGCATGACACATTCATACCCATTGCCAAATTTCATTTTCAACAAAACCAATGGGATTATTATAATAAATTGCACACATAACAAATAGTGGTTTGCCAGGCACTATGTCCATAGAGTTGCTGATGCAGATTCACAGATTTTGTAGTTAGTATTGACTCCCTCTTCGGTTTTGCTTCATCCAGCAAGGGACTCTTGAAAGCTGTTCTGTATTTTCTATTGGTAACCAGGGCCTATGTCGGCTAGGTGGTGAGTACAGTATTTTGTTCATGTTGCTAAGGCCCTGTTCCTGTTTCATTCAACACTTCTGTAAGACTGTGGATGCTTGGTCATAGGGAGAAAAGACACGCTGAGATTAAATACAGAGGACTCGTAGCACAACTTCGATTCAGCTGTGTGCTTTCTTCTGCGTACTGCTCAAGCATTTGTAGAATCGAGACTCAAGTAAAACATGCCCTCCTTGACAAGTACATCATAGCTCATTCTCTATTAATGCACCCACCATCCCACAGTACAGCGTGGCCCAGTTATCTTGTGAAGAACAGTGAAGACGACTCAGCCACTGGCATGTTGCCTAGTTTCTGGATTCCGTTTCTGAGCCATTAACGTTATGGATGGGACAATGTTAGATGGATGCAAAGCAAGTGTATTTCAGCTGTTTGAAGATGTGTGCCCAATGAGCAGGGAGCAGGGAGAGAGGTCAGAAGTTTGGTGACAAGACTAAGGAAAGCATGGAGTTTGGCCGTGTAATGAGTTTCAATTTTTTACTTTCCCAAAAAGAAAACAAGTGCCATTGGAGGCTTTCTCTTTCT